AAAAAAAGAATCAAAAAAAGGAAGGTAATTGGAAAGTCTGTGTTCTTTAAAAAACAGAAAAACGTGGTTTTGTAAAATTCCGAAACAGCCTTGTATCGAAATCATATTTACCTGTGTTTGTATCTGTATATCGAGATAGTTTAGCTTAGAAACTAAAAACGGAAATTTCGAACTCAATTGTCATGCATATTTAGGTGCAGGTTCCAGAATGTCCTGCACCCTGAAGAAAAGGCAACAACAGAATTCTGACAGTGAGGATAAAGGATATGACGAAAATTAGAATACAATAGCGAGTGATCCCTTCCGTGGCGCATTTATCTTCTTTTTCACTTTTCTTTTCAAACTCCTCTTTCTTCAGCTCACGTCACTCTTACTACCAGGACGCTTAACCTCTAGGCGAATTTATGGGCCTAAGTGCAGTTAGCTTTTTTGAGTTATGAAATATACGAATGAGCTAACCAATAAACCAAAGCGCATTCGAATACATGATTGATGTTTGTTCATCTCTACCGTATCTAAAAAAGAATCTGACCTTTAGATAGAAAAAAATCAAACTTAAAATCACATGGCCATTTTCAGGATAAAACTCATTTGAACCCTTGTGTGGGGTTACTATATAAATGTGGCAAATTCAGAATACATGCAATTGTTAACTGATTCGATGAGGAATGCCTGATAAAAGAGCAAGAAAACAAAAATTATAACCTTTCACACTGAGCAAATGTCCAAGCCATTGTAATCCAAAAGATCACTGTAAATGTGGTGAGGAATGTGATTGGATGTTGGTCCAGGATTGTTTTCATAACAAAAGAAAAATTTACTTGAATCCGATTTAGAGCAGCAAGTGTTCGCGTAGATGCATCCTGAAAAAATTCAACTAGTAAAAAAAAACCAATTCTATCAAAATGCTGTACTAAATACGTCATAAATTACAACCTGAAACTGTTTGCTGTGGAGAACCATAAAACGGGCAATCAGATAAGCACGAGCAAGCATTAGCAGCGAAAGAACAACATCCAAGGGTACTTTCTTTGCACTAATATACTGGCGAGTCCTGGACGACTCCATGAAATTCCAATGCACATAACCCGTCCCTTAACACAATTTTACTTACAAGTCTGCTAGACTGAAATGAAGTGCGAACTCGCAAAATTATTTTTAAACACAATGAAATTAAGCGAAACGAATAGCAAGATCACCAGCCTGCTGACCATTGGGCGAAGTAGCATTAGATGAAACCACTGAGAAAAGTTATCAACTGCATAGTTGGAGATTGATGAAATGCAGAAGTTGTCAAAGTGCAAAAAACGTATCCGCCTTTGACAAATCAGAAATTCAACTGGATGAAACTGGATTTTTTTCCAAAAATTTGTATCTTTACCACATTTTTGCGTCTTCCTTTGACTAGTTTTATTCATTGCTAAGCTTCCCTTTACTACGTTCTTTTTCTTCCATTTTGCAACAACAATGTTGGGATGAAAAAGTTTTACTACTTTGTCCAGTCAGTTTGTTCGTTTGGATAAAACGCTGGTCGAATAGTATACACAAAACGTTCTTTGCATATTGCTTGAGTCCACATTCACAAGGCCCTATGGTTCTAAAAAAAAGCTTGAACCCATTGGTTTCCATTAATTTGGATTAGCATGTCATTACTGTTATTACTCCTCCTTATCAGTATTAGCATCCTCGCCACCATTATTGCTAACTGTTAATACTATTATCATTATTATTATCGTTATTATTATCAACATCGTGAAAATTCAATATATTTTCGAATAAAATTTGCACTACACCAAAAACAATGAAACAAAAAGAATTTTACAAACCAGGTACTGGGCAAATGGAGCAAAGGCATATTTCAGCAATAAACTGAGCAAGAGTTTCAAATGACGCAACCACACGCCAATCATCCGCCCCACAATCGAACATATCCAGCTAAACCATAAGCAGAAATTACAGTCATTGTGATTACAAAGTCAAAACATTTCTTGCTCTCACTTTTAATTAGGCACTGAGAAGTAATCAGCACATACCAGCAGCAAATACTCAGTGGTAAGACTACAGACTTTCGAAAACTGCTTAAAAGCAAGCTGAAGGCGAATTGAGTTCCTGTAGTAGTTTCGATTTCAGTACCATAAAACAACCTGTTTCTTCATTCTTCAAATTTTTTCATTCATAAACCGCTATACTGTAGTTACCTCACGCAAAACTAGTCCGTCAAAAATTGATCGAGAAGGAAGGGGAAAATCCAACCTTTATTTCGTTGATGTGATATAGACAGATCTGCGTAAGTAGTAAAACTGTTGACGACGTCGCTAACCAACGTAATACTAACGAAACAATACTGTCCTGCAACCATTTCCAACAAGCGTGAAATCCTAACACCTTAATTTCTTAAAATGCCTTTCCAAATCTCCCAGACGGAACGGTACTTCAGCGTAATGTAAGTGTCGCAACGCTTCGGGACGAGGTGGTAACGCTCAGCATACACTGTTCAGTCAATAAGTGTTTTTCAAAGTAATTCTATCGGGAAGCAGCTGGACGTGTAATCCCTTCAGCAGGTGAAGTGAACGTTAGAACTGATAGAATACTAGCCACCAGGACAACATTGAACAAAAATTGTGAAATAAAGAAAGAATCGAACCAAAGTCAAAATTTCTCCGTAATCACTCACTGTTGAAAGGCCTGAGACACTCAGAAGTATTCCAAGAGTGGCAACTGAAGAGAGTGCCTTTTCAAGAAGTTCTTGCAAAGTTT